TTTTTAGTGTTTGTGAAATAATTTCTTTAGAGCTTTAAACTTCTCATATATTTAAATCATAATAGAAATTGTTTTATTTATGAACCAGTTTACCAAGTTTTATATCTTTTGAAACATTATTTAATTTGTTTTAAAGACTATAAATATTACACGAAGGATGAAGTTTTTGCACTAGTATAAAATTATTTAGAAGTTTTTTTATGAAAATATTTTTTAATCACGTATTTTCAATAGTTCTACTGAACTGTTTATTTCACATCACTGTACATAACATATTTGTTTCGACATAATTCCACAATGAATAGTTCGGGCTCATCTCAACAATGGTGCGAGACTGTTTTGTCACACGCTAACGTAATTAAGCTAACAAAGTATAAGAATGGTGTAGACCATTCCGAGTTGATTGAACTGTGTACTATACATTGCGAACTTTTAATGACTCATGTATCTTCTGCTTGAATAAAAAAGTTATTGTACATCAATCCGTTTTATATTAACTGTCAGCGTGTTAAACTAGTTCTTTGTGTATATGCAATCTATATTCCAACACAATGCTCTCAGCGAAATCGCAATATCGAATCCTGCGCAACATTTATGTCTATATTTGTTGGGAGTAACGGTTTCTTGTTACTTTATGCAGTAACCTACACTTGGCTAATGACTTTATTTTGACATTATACTAGGAATCTTATATTTACTCAAAATTCATCACTAATTTATATTCTTCAAAATTGTTAATAATAAATTGCTAACTGTTTTAAACCCAACGTTTTGTTACTAGTTTCGTAGAATTCTTTAATAGGATTTGGTTCTTTTGACCGTCATCTCATTTCTTGGGACTGTAATTAGGCAGGTATCTTTGTTCCGTCTGTATATAAGTAATGATGCTTGATTTGACATTCATCATAACTGTCCATCTCTGGTACTGTGTACGTTAAGTATCTTTTTCATTTCTCTGAGATAACTGTACTTTAGTTACATAAGTGTTGTGTATTATTTATATTAATTTATTTTTTATTCTCTCGTCATATAATACGTGGGATCCAGGTGAAGTCAGTAATAATTATTATACTTTACATTTGCTATAAATGTGACTGTGTAAGTTGTATTGTAGAAGAAAATTCATTTAAAAATATTTAATGTTGAATATCAATTTTTATTACTGACATTTAGTTTTTACATAGAAATATTGTTACAACGCTGTATAGCTAAACGTAGTGTATATATTGAAAAAAATAATAAAATTTAGGTAGTAAATAGGTACAAGTAACATGTAAATCTTTGACATCATCTGAACGGATCTTATCGAGATCAGAAACTGAATTCAAGTGCAGTTGATGTATCAAGGCGTGTCAGCGGATGCGGCAATAATAGGGCATCCGCAATTACGCTATGATTTGAGGCCCCATTACAGCACTGTGCGGGCAAATGTCACCTCGTCGAACAGGTTGCAGGGAGAATTTGGTATACCCAGCTAACTCCAGAAGAAACCACATGACTAATTAAAAGAAATGAATCGCGTACAATGTCATATTAATACAAACTGGTCCTTAATCACTCGGATTGTTCGCGCCTGTTTATTTTTTACTTGTCTCTCGAACACTTTTAGTGTTTGGACTTTTTAGTAACTTGTTTTAACACATGAAATGAGAATAATATTTTAACAAAGAATTAAGTTAACATTTGAAATATTCTAGATGTTTCTATAGGTCACACTAAATGTGTAGTTAGAATGTTCTAGAATTGCGATATAGTGGGGTCACACGACTACGTAACAGAGGGTGAGCACCCTACATAACTAGTGTCTTTTTAATAATAATTAAACTAATACATTTATTTCGGGTTTTACTTGATTTTTATGTACAGTACGGAATTGAGTTGCGATTTTATTTTCAGCTAGTCTAATATACACGGTGTTCTCTTTGGAATATGCTAGTCTAAGTCTTTAAATAAATATTTGTGTTAATTATTCCTGATTTTATAAAATACATATAAGTCCTCGAGTAAGTATAATAGACTTTTCGAACTAAATATACAAAGACCAGTATAAGAATATAACAAAATATTATAAACATTATTACTATTGGAAGTATCATGGACACATTAAATCAAAGTCCCGGCAGTCACACCCACTGTTGTCTTAATTATCATATATTAGAATATTTATACTAACGGTACTTTTTACTAATGATAAATCAGTTTGATATTTATTAAAAGATTCTTTCTCTTTTGGACCGTACTATACTAGAAGTTGTTTGATGACGTCATTGTTCTAACCCTCCTAACGACAATGTTAGTTTCTTCTTAAGTTATTGGTCATCATTAATTGAGAACCAAACTTTTTTATACTGATGAATGGGTTCGTTTAATGTTTAAACATTTAAGTTTAAAATGGTTTTAATACGACACATATCAGTTGTATAATTTCAATCAGATTTTCATTAAAATTATATATGTAAATTCCTTCATTCAAAAATTTTAAATGATTTAAATGATCATTCAAATGTAGGTAAGGTATATTATTTTAATTAAAATTCTTAGCAAATTATATAAACGTCGCACTGTCAAATATTTTATTCCGCGTCAAATTTATAATGGCTGTGAGTTTTTTTGTTTAATTTTTATTTTTATTTGCGTGCTATTGCTTTGATCACGCGAATTGTTACTGCGGCCCGCGGTGGCTGATCTAAGAAGACGCTATATCTTATTTTGATTCCACAGTCAGTAGATAATGTTATTTATATGAATAGCCTTAAAAATCATATTTTTTATATGATTTATCACTGAGATCGAGCTTAGTATATCCAAGAAAAGGATATTTTAGTTCGTGTAATAAATCTTTGACGAAGAACTTGTATCTTGTGTTTTATTGATGAGGGAAAAAAGATTTATGTGTTTTATAAGGAATATTTAAATATTAATTTATAATATATATATTGTTTTGAAAGTTGTACGTATCTGAAAATTATTATTTACTTAATCGTGTATGAGATTATGTCAATACATTATGTCAATACATATATTTGTGTACCTCGATGTTGGACATGAGTTTGTCTAGACCAATATTTTATCACTATGCTAATCAAACGGATGTGATATTGACTTCTCACGGGCTTTTTGCGGAAGCGTATTTCGTATTTCATTATATATGCATATATGTATGTGTGTGTATGTATGTGTGTGTGTATGTATTTTGAAACTGTTATCAGTGTATAAAATTTCCCACGGCCGTTATCTCGTCAGTAGGTTTCGGGTCATCGTTAGTGTTTGTCGTGTATAATTCGATACATGTCCAACGTGAAATTTAACACGCATTTTATTTTGCTTTCTAACAAACATGATTAAAGATTCGATCATTAATTCCGTTTTTTTTATTTCTTCGTCTACCTTCATATTGGTTTTATATATTTTCTATGATTTCAAATTGTAATTAATTTTGCATTGCCTTATTCATATGATTCTTTAAGGACTTTTATGCATACATATAAGTTTAAACGTAAGGATTTTTAAATTTTTTATGAAAGAATAAAATCAGGAATATTAATTATATGGTCGCAGTTTTAAATAAACCGGTAAACATCCATCAGTGATGACTTCGCCTCAGGTCGGTGACAGTGAAGGAAAAAACAATAGCCTTCCATATACGGAGAGGCAACTTCGCTCGCTCGCTTTTTATACCCAACTCAGTATGGTTAGCCAACTGCGGGTAGCCGGTTAAAAACAGCCTCGCGAAAGTCATTTGCTTTCATTTAGGAATGCTCACTTGAATCGATATAAACGTTTTTTGTAGCTATTTGAAAATCGATATGGAGCTTGTAATTGAAACTGTTTAATGTCATCCAAGTTAAATAATAAATTAGCTGTTTTGCCAACCATATACGTACACAGACGTCCAACTGATTGGGAACGAACAATGTTTTTGGCGTAGCTGCCATTTGATTTGGATAATTTGATTTAACAAATGCCATTTAATTAGATACCATACAGTTCGTCGGACGATAGTATAAAAAGTAATACATAGCTATATATATATACGTACACTTAACTTAATTGAAATATTACTAGATATTAAAATAATTGAGATCTTAAATATAGAAATGCGGCCGGGTTTAAAGATTTTATCTGACGGTGAAGATTTAAATTATTCGGATGTATCGTAATCAAAATTACAATCTGAATGTATCGATAATTCGACGTCAGACCACCACAGTGGATGTAGACCCTGAAATTAAGGTGAATCAGGGATAAACACACAGTAATGGGAAAATCAAATAAGATAAAAATCGTTTGCACATAAGTTTGCACATCACTTGGAAAGTTATAAAAAATATTAGTGTGTAAAAATATACTGACAGATTTAAATATTCGCTTATCGTGTTTGCTTAATTTATTTAAATATTTAGTTAATAGTGATAATATTTTTTTTTGTACTTTTGATGTTTTTTTCTTTACTATGAGAGCTAACATTTAATGATCATTTGATTAATGTTAACAAATTTACTTCTCGATTTAAATAGACCACTATATATGATAAACACAAAAAATATTCGAAAAAGATTATAATATATGTATATTATTTTTAGCCACAAATTCTTTAAGCTAATATTCTTTAAGCTAAGTAGCCACAATTAAGCCACACGAGGTAATCCTGGCATTATTAATAAGGATTTAATTAATAATAATAAGTGCGAAAACCAATCTTCCTGGTGACGTTTTCTCCAAAATCTTATCGTTGTCAAGTGTCAGTTGGAATAGACGTGAAACGCGTGGGAACTGAATTCGACAGCATGTAAACACAAGTTTATTGACATTCAAGAATTTATATCACACTTTTATGTAATACAAGATTATTTCCGAAACATTTCTTGTGTATTTTTGTTATTATTTATCCTAAAAAAAGTAGTGGCCAGAAAATAAGTTTTATTTCAACATCTTTCTAAGACGCCTCTTCGAAACGAAATTTTATAAACAGCTTGTATAAATACTAATTTTGTTTCCAGGTTTTGTCTCCTGTTCACCATCGCCGTGTAAAAACGGCGGGACCTGTCTCTCAACTTCGCGAGGAGAGTACTTCTGCAAGTGAGTACCACATTTAATATCAACTGTCATTCTTATAATATGACGTATGATTGTATGAGTTACAGAAACACTTGGCAGTTATTGTAATAAAAAATAGGGCCTATATCATGACTGCTTGCTATAAAAATGACCAAGCCTTAGATAGCTTTTAGTTTTCTCCTATTACTGTATAAATTAATAATTGTTAGAATTAAACATATTTGGTAAATTATGGATATGTATTGGTGGTTAATTTACTTATAAAATATGATATAAAAATAATTAAAGTCAGTGGAACGCAAAATAACATACGGTTGAATAAAAATAATAAGCACGCACCATATCTAACGTTACCAAAACTCCGTTTCGAAGCAGATGCGTAAACCCTTCGCGATGAAATGGGGACTTAATTGCGTTAAAAAAAACGATGTTTTTTGTGCACGTAGGGATGAATCATGCGGCTGAATGCCAACTAATTACAGCATTTTACCCAACGTCCACAAATACTCTTTTTTATTGTTAAAGAACGTACTAAAATTTAAAGATATTTACGTAGTGCTAACGAAAGCTAATAGGGGTCAGTCATTAAACAGTTTAGTGGCTCTGATCATTAGGATTCATCAATGATCTTCTTATAAGGTCCGTTTTATATTATCAATTCACACTTCGGCTCAGTATCTCCATATAAGTCCGGTGTTGAGGCACGAAATGCCGCTTCCCCTACTAACCTTTCCATATAAAAGTATATGATTTTACTTGCGTGTAAAAGGAGTATCCATTATTTATTATACTAACAGCTAAACAAATGTTTTCTACGAAAAGTATCTAATGAGTTTTTATTAAAAGTGAACATTTTTAATATGTAATATCTCTAAAACATTATATTATTTCAATGAAAAATGTAATGAAAATTATTTTATATTGGACATTTGGTTTAGTAGTGCCTTTAAGAGCGAACTTTAGTAACTTTGACTCTTCTCATTAAAATAGTTTGTCCTTAAGTTCATCGCATAAGTAGGACTGTACTTTAAAAACGGCGTCATATAATTACTATTGCTAGTATAAATAATATGACTTCTTTCATCTCACAATATGTATAATACGTCTTATATTTTAGTCAATTAAAATTTCTATTGTTTTAAAGATTATACTAGATTATATAATAATAATAGAACTTAAAAAATAAAGTCTGAGCAAGCAGTTAAATCCGTATAATGCCGAATCACAAAAGCGTTATCTTTAAACTTTATCGTCTTCTTAGAAGACGTTTGAAAATTTGAGTACAATGAGTTTTAAAAGTATCGCGTTGTAGATGACTAATGCGGTTTCGGCTGTCAGATATTGTCGAGATATTAGGTAAGTAACGTCTAGCGATCTGTCTGCCCGGTCACTTGTGGCTAATGGAAGTGGGCGGGCGCCCTAGATCCTGCTTGTGTCATGTACGTCAACACTGAACCAACAGCCAACTAGGAACAACGTCTGAGTAATGTCATATTTCAACCAGTAAATTATAGTTGAAAGAATTATCTCTTATAAGAGGAGGTTTAATCATAATTCTGTATTATATTTATCACAAGATTAAGAACTAATTTAGTAAATTGAGATTGCTTTAAAAAATTCCTTTTTATATCCATAGAATGTCCAAAAAAAAAAATTAATTCTCAACACATAATCTCAATGCCGTTGTAAATTTTGGTTGCATCATATCAAGGGACCAGAAATTCAGCGTTGTCTGTTCGCATTTAAACGATCCTCTGAGCATTAGCTTACGAAATATTATAATAGATGGCGAGTTGAGCAAATAGAAACTAATAAAACTAATGTAGGAAGGTTGGAACATAAGTCAGAGGTGCGCAGACTTCGCACGCTGCTTACAACATTTAATGAATGGGACGAAATGTATCAAGGACTGTGAAGAAATTTCGACGCCTTATATTATGTACTTAGATATAAAACATAATTAGTATATGGGTATGCCTTTTCAAGTTTCTCATCTCAGTATAAAAATAAAATTCTTTTCTCTCACAAAAAACAATCACCTCGAGTCTTTCTACGCGGTCCATTAGAACTAAATGCCTTTATAATATAGGACGTTGAAGCTCCGTTAATATTACTTTACAGCGCGCTGCCTTGTTACGCCTCTAGAAAACGTTTAAAAAAACCGAGGGAGGTCCGGTTGGAATGAAATGGTGGGTTCTGTATAGTTGCACTTCGTAGCGATCATATTAAAAGTCCGTTTTTTTCACAACCAATTGGTTATATCCTATATGCTGTTGAAAAATATATTTTATTTTCCATCATAAGAATATACACATTGGTGATGCATTATATAAGTCTATATTAAATCTCAACTATGATGATATTCAAAGAAAAACGTCAATGGATCTCTAGATCATTATTTTCTTGGTTTGTTTGACTTGATATCAAGAAGATAATAGTCTCCACTTCCTCAAATTCGTTTTTAGGATGACTTGCCGTGAGCGTGAGAAATTGAATGACTTATTTTAAGAAACGTTCTACTTTTCTTGTGACTTTAGTCACATTACATTTTATCTTTCCTTTTTTCAAGATTCAACTATAACTGAAGAAAGTTATTTTTTATTTTGTACCTTATCGATTAGCGATAATCATATAATATCAAAGATTATAAAAGAATAATGAGATTAAGTTGCTACTTGTATTTTAATGTTAATTTCTTGATATTTAATTGATGTAGGCGTAATTTTTTCGTACGATTTAAAGTAATACATCTTCCATATTTTTATACATTTTTAATAGTAATCTTAAAATTTCAAAAAATTCTGTTTTTGTCTATGCAGTATAAACTAGATGGAATACAATTATTTAAACGAAATAATACACATATAATTTTAAATCTATTTTGGACGTCCTCCAAATCTGCGGGATTCTTTTCAATAGCACCAAGCAAAACTATTTAAGACTGGAATTTCTCTAAAGTCTGGTGGCTTGGCGAGTTTTTGGTGCCATTATTATTACGCAGACGAGCACGCCGATTATGGTCCTAATATGAATAAATTTAAATTTCATAATATATTGCTTTAAGATACATAAATGTTAGGATTTGAATATTTTGCTAGCATTAAATAATGACTTATAGGAGAATTATAATTCATTATCGTTAATGACTTTAATTTAAATTCGTAAATGACTTTATTTTGGTCGTGTTTAATTGTTACTGTGATTCTTAGTCTCCTTTGTGTGGTACAATGGGTCTTAAATGTAATAAGTTATAATAGATGACGGCTATAAATTTTGATACTATCTCTATTCCTAAGTGCGCCTTCTTGTAGGTTTCAGACTGAAGTCATTATGTTTTGTTTGCTTTCCTTTTGAAGATTTCTTCATGCAAATATTATGAGCTTATGTGGCCAAGTTTGAATGGGTATTTAGCATAAACAGTTCAGGGTGCCTCCAGCAGTGAGGTATGGGAGCTTTAAATCTGTTCTATACCAGGCAATGAGCAATTCGTAAGCATAAAGATGTTCGGATCTCCGACCACACACAGTTTTGTTTTGCTTCAGCTGTCCAATCTATCTTTGCGAGAATAGAAAACAGTAACTGATTTTAATTCCCTTGCTATTTACGAATAACTAATACTCCTTTAAATATTCTTAGAAATGTCTATTTTTGTCTACGTGTTTCTTTATACTTTAATGCTCGGGATATTTTATTGTCAGTTTTAGACCAGCTTTTTACAGTTCATTTCCAAGTAATCTTAAAAGACCGTGAACCAAGTGTCATTTTACCTTTTGTCTTAGGTCATTCTATCGTATGAAAAATCTTGATGACAATACCAGCAATAAACTTGACTTACCATATAAGATCAAAAACCTCCTCATTACTCCATATACAAAAATAATCCTTAGGCAACCCGAAAATAAGGTGGAAAATATAATGGCCAGAATATTTTTCATATGTGAAAACACCTGAACATCATCGGTATCGCGATGCCGTGAAGCACGTTTCGTTTGAACCGCTTTACTCCATCGTGTCCTCTGCTTAATGGCCCTCCTAACTGTCAGACCACATATGTGTTCACGGTTTTATAACTGGGCCAGAGATAAAACCAATTATTTTTGTTCCTTATAATCCTATAAGACGGAATTGCTTCATTAGTTCAAATGATGATATAATCATTTGAAAAATTTCTTTCACTTCAAAAGTTCGTATATCACAAACAATAGTGCTTGTAGATTGTCGCTTTCGTAATGTTATTGTTACAAAATGATGAATCGTACGTCGGTACGGCAAGAAAGAACCCGCTACTATAGGGCCATGTTATTTAGACAGCCGTTTTGGATGCTGACGGGTAACACGAGCTATCAATCTAGCGTTGCAACACAAATGTTAACTATCAATTATTCGTCTAATGAAATAATGGCAGCATCTCACGAAGACGAGATTATAATGACGAATACATTCGTGCTTTTAAATACATGACTTACATTTGCTGCTGTGTTTCTAGGAAATTCATGTCATATTATTTAATTTCTATTCCATTGCTTTAACTAAAATTAACATCTACTATTTTACCTACGTCTTTTCGTAACAGGATATTATTCGTTCATAGTAATTTCTTTACAGAATAATGTATTTTGATCTCATTCGATATAAAACGAATTTCATTCCGTCTCATTATGTTTTATGAATTGGTCGGAGAGTGCAAAAGTATGGATGATTTATTACCAATACCCTTAGAGACCATCTATTCTAACAGTGCAATATAATGAGATCGACTAAGATCATTAATTAAACTTCTCAATGGGATAGACAAAACTATATGATTCCATTCAGCATCGTGACAAGTCCGATATTGTTCTGCACCTCCTTAATGACCTCTTTAATACCGTTATAATGACACTAAATACTTTCTAACTTTTTCGTCATGTAAGAAGACTTATTGGTAACAGGTCTGGATGTTATTCTTAAGCTAATATGTAATTAATTTATACATATGATCCTTAAAGTATAAGTTTGGTAGAAAATCGATCACAGTTCCA